GTAAGAGTAGGAGTAGCGTCACTCGGGGAGCTTCCGACACCACTGGATGTACTCGAGCCTCGGAGACCGGCGGTTGGTGCACCCGTGGACTGAGATATCTTGGGATTGCCCGTTATTGTGGGGTTGTACGTCGAAAATGAAGACTGAACTACCGGAGTGCCTTGGACGTTCACGAGCGGCCCTCCGCTACCGTTAGAATTGAGCTGGCTGCCAGTACCATTATTGATGAAGGAAGGTGTACCTCCCGGAGAGGGAGGGGGGCTTGGTGAGGCTGCTAGTGATGATGTACGCGTGGAGGTCGCTGTGCTGCTACTTCCCTCGGGGCTGTTCTCACCGTTGCTGCCTCCATTTCCACTTTCAGTCCCACCACCACCACTGCCACTGTTACCTCCACCCCCACCTCCACCCCCACCCCCACTTCCACTTCCCCCCCCAATTCCGCTACCACCTCCACTTTCGCTACCAGTCTCACCTCCACCCTCGCTACCGCCTCCACCTTCGTTACTACTTCCACCCCCACTCCCACCTCCATTACTATTTCCACCCCCACTCCCACCTCCATTACTATTTCCACCCCCACTTCCACCTCCGTTACCATTTCCACCCCCACTCCCACCTCCGCTAATTGATCCGGTTTCACTGCTACTGCCTGCGCTTAGAGTGATAGTATAGCTTGGCGACAAAAATTCTGTCAACGCGCTTGCTGGTAGTAGACCCATTACTGAAGAGCTCCCACCGTAATCTTCACCGCCAATGGATACCAGGGGAGAAAGTATCGATATCGTGACAGATGGTGGCGGGACGGGCAAGCTTACAAGAGAAGGATTGCGCTTGTTGAGCGCCCTGTTGGGAATCGCGCGATGTCGGACAGAGACATGTTGCATCCTGTATAAAAAAAAAGCAGGATATGCAGTACTAATAAGAGAGCGAGACGTTAAAAAGAGTGTGGGTGTCGTCGTTCGTCAGCGCCAACGACGAAGTAGAGAAGCGTGCTGGCTGTTGGCAATTGCAGCGGTGCGAAAGATGTTCAACAGTTCGAACCAGCAACCAGGGAAGGAAAACCGGGTCACTAGAACGGGGTTCACCATGACTACCGTAGGACTCGAGCAACGAAGTGATCAAGTGATCAATGTCATTTCATGATTACTGATGGAAGAAGTACTTAACCCTTTTGTGCAATATTGATGGAACACGCACACTGCACACTCACACTGCACTAGGCTGCACTCCCGAAACGAGGGTTTTCGGTCTCAATAAGTGAGAGACGGATTGACAATCCGTGATCAATCTTTCAATCGATCATGAATCATGATGCTGCGGTACAATTATGGATCTGACGTCACATACCTTCTAGATGATCATCCTCTGGAACCAATGGGCGGGCTTCCCTCTACAATATTGTTAATGAAATTTCGGCAGCTTAACTTGACAACGGTGGAACGAATGAGTTATCAGGCGCCCTGTAACAAAGTTTCGACACACCTTCTGACATCATTGGACCCTGAAGCTGGGATCAACTCCCTTGTACTTGCCAAAAGCAGTCTCACGTGGGAATAGAACGTCTCTTGCAGGGCTATCATCTCTGGACCTGACCTGGCTAATCCGCTATCATAAGTCGACGTTCAGGGGATAACACGCACCACGATCCTTATGACATGACGCCTCAGTTCTAGTTGCTAGAGTAGGGCTCTTAGCGTTGTGATGGAATCACTGACCGAGTGTATCCAGAGGAAGTTCGGATCTTCCAAGCACGATAGAACCGCGGGGGGTAGCTTCCGGAGTGTCTTTATCACCCGCACGATTTCTTGTGATAGCATGACGTGTATACTGTTTTCTCAGTGTAGCCGATAGCCACCGGTGAGAGAATATGCTGAGTACGAGGACTATGCTAAGGCATGCAAACAACAATAGAACTAAGAAAAGCGAGCCTTGACGACGGACGTTGCTTTCCAAAATCTTCTTCGAGAAGAACAGTTCTCAGTAAGGTCAAATATGTAAGGGATTGAGACTCACCAAACAGCTGAATTTGAATCAACAGTTGAAAAGTTGATCAATGGCGTACAAACGCCAGCCATTGCAAGCGAGAAGTTATGATATGTAGCATTGCTTGCAAGGATACAAGTATCGTGTACCACTGCTAACGACCGAGACAAAAGCTAGTTACCACGCGTCCACATTTGACGAGGCAGCAAGAAAGACACGCCAATTGCAAGGAGTCCCAGCATCATCATAAAATAGTACACCGCCCACGCATAATAGGGGTCTCTCACAGAAAAGGAAAACATCGACATTGCCGATGCAGGTCCAATGATGCGTACACACGCAGCGACCGTATGAGCAACACCATTAGTGGCGCCCAATGATGCACGATTTGGAGATGCAGCTGCAATATACATCGATCCGCAAGCTATCACAAACTAATCAGTGATGGTCGCGACACATGACATGAAAACGAACAATAACACATATTCAACGCGATAGTCATCGTGAGCTGAAGGCCGACAGCAAACCAGACTGCGGTACTAATTCCATACATCCGACTCAACATGTTGATGGTCGGGAATGCAATGATGGTCGGTACACTGGACGCGACTCCACAGGTATACACCACTTTTGTGCCAAATCGGTCATGCAGCCGAGCAAAGAAAAACACTTGAAATAACCCATTAGCAAAACCGAATACTGCAAGTATATTGCCAATTCGTAGAGGGTCGAGGCCAAGTCCACCCATGTTCACCGGCGTAGCGTAAAACACGGGTATTAGGGAACGCAGAGCGATGTCAAGAAGAGCCAGAGTTGCGTGATTCGATATCGCAATAAGAACACGCGGAGTCATTAATGCGCTCAGAGGCAGGGGCTGAGAATCGTCGGGTGACCCTTGAACGGTATCAGAATTTGATCTATCCGGCTGTGGTAGCTTGATATGTACGAACGTAAGAATGGTCCGACATTTGTCCCGAATCAGACTCCATAAGGACGTCGTCATTGGCACAGTCTAAACATAGATGAGATAGGCCAACGAAATGAGTGAATCACTATTTTACCTCCTGTAAAAAAATATACATGACCAACCACATGAATGCGGTAAATAATGCTGGACCAGCGCAAGCCAAGAAATAAGGATATGTCTTCAGAAATGTCGACTGCCCAAACAGTCTAGGAAAACGATCTGCCGGATGGGACAAAGACCCGCCAATGAGAGGTCTAGCCGATCATTCAACGTAAAGACAGGATACACAAAACAACGTGTAGGACCTACCCGAGCGTACTCCCGGTCATCCATGGAAGAGGAAGAAACCCGAGTGCCTGAGCCATGTTGCTTGAATCTGTAATATCTATCATCATACTCCTGATGACACCACCGTTGCCATTCAGCGCTCCGCACAATACACGACTGAAAAAAAATTACTACCATTGAATATTCGATCAAAATATGATGCCCGAACCTTAGTATCAAGCCCCCGAAGGTCTTTGAAAGTCCAAATAGGAACATGGAGACCGATATACCAAACAGACCGGCCAAGATGACTGGCTTTCGACCAACATGATCAGAGAGTCGGTTCCATTGAAGGGTTGTAAGGGCTTGAGCTACGTAGAACACGGAATACTTGGAGGCGAATTAGGAAACGGCTATTCATGGCGAACACTGGGCACTCACCATGATACCAACGAAATATGCTACCCTCGATTCATCGCCATGGGTCACTCCAAGATCTCTGATCAGCTGAGAGATGAAACAAGCTCATCAGGAACTCGTAAAACATATGAACTCAGGCTGAGTTCACCTGAGGCGCAAACGGAGCAATTGCCTGAGCAGATACAGGTTCAGCGAGCTGCAAGAAAAGTATGATGGAGAATTGGCGCCAGGGTAGTGGAGTTTTGATTTTGAGCTGCTCCTCAGGCCGCAACAGAGGCGTCTCTTCATCCACTTGGTGGGACATAGCTGCTGAGAGAGCCCATTCCAGCTCTTCTGATTAATATTATCTAGAACGTATGTAATAGAACGGGTATTGACCTCCGTGCGCATTCACAAATGAAACTTCCCACGGCCTTGGTTGCCTTCTAACCCAATTCTAACCACTCAATGGAATGTCGGTATAGCCAAGCATCAAGCGTAAGTTTTCAGAAACGAGGCGTAAATTTCTCAACATAAGTGAATGTATGCTCGACGCACTATGATGCATTGATGTCTGATACTAGTAGTACAGGGCGAATTTTAAACTGCGCGCTTCGTCTGCCAAATCTCTCCGAGATCAACCAACCAACCAGCCTTCAAGTTACTACGTCAAGCACTTAGCATCTCAGAGACGTTACGAGTTTAAGAAGAATGCAGGAGCTCAGCCAGAAGTTCATGAAACAAATGTATAGATACATTGATACCATATATATAATATAGACCCGGATAATAACATAGCTGCGAACGGATAACATGCAGGTCGTTCTTGGTTGCGATCTTTCCCCAAGCGAGGCACGATTGGGAGCAGCTGCTCTGATAAACAGTGTCAAGCAAGCTGCAGGTTCTTCTCACTTAAGTATCATACACGAAGCACTGGGTTGACATACGACTGCACATCATCAAGCTAGTCTACGGTAAGCACGTGTTGAGCGGCAACACACAACCACACCGCCAAACTCATTCCCTGGACTCGGGCTAGAGCATTACTGGGAATAAAATGACGATAGGTATGCCAGAGCTGACACCGGTGGTATGAATGGTTCCTGCACCAAAGCAATCATGTAGACGGGCGTAGAAAAGTAGCTGGAATGCACCATGGGCGATACCTGATGCCGACAGTATAGCACTGATGAGGGGAGGGTCAAGGGAAAGACCACCGAGTTCCATGGGTGTCGCATAGAAGAGAGGAAGGATCGAGATAAAGTACAGCCGTGGTGACATCTGAGCTTGCTGTTACAGTCAGGACTCTTGGCGTTAGCAAGGCACGCAATGGAAGTGGCTTTACTTAATGAAACTTCATCAGAGTTTGCTTCTCCAGAACTGGGTAAAGCATTGTTCGATAGCACGGGAAAATGAAATCAAGTCGTGGCCAACGACGAGAAACACTGACCAGACACGCGAAATGAAACAAAACAGAATTACGTTCTGGATTGCGGAACGACGACGACGGTAAGGTAATCAAGCTAAGGGAAAAGAGATATCTACGATGCAATGAACCATATGTGTAGGCCACCAGGCTATCAAGAAAAACTATCAATCAGTAAACCAATGTTCGAAGGAGTTCCAGAAAAGCACAAACAGGGTAAGAGTGAACAACTGCAGGTATACGAAAGGCGGGAGGGTCATGGGACAAAAGCTAAACATCGGCGACTCAGAAATGAAAAAAAAACTGTCAAACAATTAAAGGAACAAATATTAGTAATAACCATAATCATCGTCTGAGTCATCACTGTCAGAGTCGCCTTCGAGAACACAGGAAGGCAAGATGACATCTTTGGGTATAAGAGCAGTGACAAGACCAGCATTAGGGTCAGAGAAATCTGTGACACCGGGGTTGCCATGCGTTAAATAGACTTCCTTGTATCCTTCAGGTATACCGATCGCTGCTACAGTTGTCACCGGACGAGGGACACGTGGGGGAATTCCTTGTTTCACGTCACCAGGACATTCACGAGCAATGTGTGGTTTCCAGACAGCGTCAGATGGCGATAAGCGACAGTGAAAGCAACCTCCAACAGAGCGCAATGCTTCCCGTTCTGCGTAACTGAGATCTGGAAGTGGGTATGCAGGCTTCGATGTGGGCACAGGCGGCGATGCCGAGGAAGCATTAAACGCCAGTCTAGGAGAAATTGACTTTGTGAGGCCTTCCGCGACGAGACTAGACCAAGTAGTTGCCATGACATCGATAAGCGTGTCCACCTTCAAGTTCTCGTACCCAAGATTCGGCATTGCACGAATACGCAGTTGAAGGATGGGGTGGGCAAAAAACAAAAGGTGGTTCTTGAAGATCGAGTCAGTGATAGTGTATCCAAGGCCTGCTGAGCTAAGTGTGTTCCGAGCCACTTGCAAGGTAGCGACGAACGAGCGAAAGTCATCAGCGCCCTGCGACACATTGTAGAAGCAGGCGAGAGCATCTAGACGCCAGCCAGAGGGGATGAAACGGTCTTTGAAACACAAGGCGAAGGCCTCCCAAGTGGCAAGCTGTTTGAGTACATCACGATTCTCGCTCCACCAGAGGCTAGTGTTGTATTCTTCGAGCTTGAGTCCAGCGAGCACAATGCGAAGTTGCGGAGGCATAACTTTATCTGCATTCAAGGCAGACCATGCGAGGTAAGAGTCCTCACAACGTCCAAGCCAGGCATTAATGGTTGCTGGTTCGAGTGGCCCAGAGAAAGCGGGGATGTCAAGTTTCGTCATCTTAGAAGAATGCGAGGGTACCAGGAGCGTGGGCGATGGTACAGGTTGAGAAATTGCAGCTGGATCCTGGACTGGGGGTGTGTCAGAACTGGAAGATGGCATGAGCAAGGTAGGCGTGCAAGGCAGGAACGACGAGGTTGATGACGAGAAGGCAGATGTGCCGTGAGATGCGGAGGAGATCACGATTCCTCGCAGTGGTGACAGGGGCAGGCAGATTGTCTCTGCTTGGCGAGCGAGAGGCAGAGAGTAGAACACGTAAACTAGTATCAGTAGCGTGAAGCTTCTGTTTGCGAGAGGGATCCAGTGTAGATAACAGCTGGAGAAAGGGAACAGTGGTTGAAGTTTTAAAAAAAGTGAAATCAAGTCGTGGCCAATGACGAGAAACACTGACAAGACACGCGAAAAAAAAACAGAACCGTGAGCACGTTCTGGATTGTGGAACGACTTAGACGGTAAGGTACTCAAGGTAAGGTAAAGTAAAAGAGATGTCTACGATGCATGTGTAGGTGTACGTAAGCCACCAGAAATTTGGATAGGATGTTGCGAGAACCATACTTTGACCAGCCTCAGAAGTGGCGCTCTTGGTGAAACGCTCTTATTATGGAACTTAGTGCGTTCTAGACATGGTCATTAAAAGCATCACTCTCACAAGTCTGAATCTGGAATATGCGACTAGCCAAGCCGCCGAGGCAAATATAGCTGGAACGACGCACAGTAACAGGTATGGGTAGGTTTTCAGAAGTTCTGATCGCCCAAAGATTTCAGGGAATCTATCTGCGGGTCGGGAGGGGGATCATGCGATGAGTGGTCCAGAATTGCCATTGTCAACCCTGCTTCAAGAGCAAGCAGACATATTGTAAATTACCCAACTATGGCTCCCAACATCCACGGGAGCGACAGTAAGGTAAATGGGATCGAGACTCACCAAACAGCTGAATTTGAATCAAAATTGGAAAGTTGATCAATGGCGCACAAACGGCAGCCATTGCAAGCCAGAAGTTATGATATGTAGCATTGCTTGCAAGGATACAAGTATCATGTATCACTGCTAACGACCGAGACAAAAACTAGCTACCACGCGTCCACATTCGACGGGGCAGCAAGAAAGACACGCCAATTGCAAGGAGTCCCAGCATCATCATAAAATAGTACACCGCCCACGCACAATAGGGGTCTCTCACGGAAAATGAAAACATCGACATTGCCGATGCAGGTCCAATGATGCGTACACACGCAGCGACCGTATGAGCAACACCATTAGTGGCACCCAATGATGCACGATTTGGGGATGAAGCTGCAATATACATCGCTGCGCAAGCTATCATAGACTGATCAGTGAGGGTCGCGAGACACATGACATAAAAAACGAACCATAACACATATTTAACGCGATAGACATCGTGAGCTGAAGGCCGACAGCAAACCAAACTGCGGCACCAATCCCATACGTCCGACTCAACATGTTGATGGTCGGGAATGCGATGATGGTCGGTACGCTAGACGCGACTCCGCAAGTGTATACCAACTTCGTGCCAAATCGGTCATGCAGCCGAGCAAAGAAAAACACCTGGATTAGACCATTGGCAATACCGAATACTGCAAGAATATTGCCAATTCGTGGAGGGTCGAGGCCAAGTCCACCCATGTTTACTGGCGTAGAATAAAACACGGGTATTAGGGTACGCAGAGCGATGTCAAGAAGAGCCAGAGTTCCGTAATTCAACGTTACAATAAGAACACGCGGAGTCATTAATGCGCTCAGAGGCAGGGGCCTAGAATCGTCGGAGGAACCTTGAACCATATCGGAATTTGATCTATCCGGCTGCGGTGGCTTGGTATGTACTAACGCCTGACATTTGTTCCGAACCAGACTCCATAAGGTTGTCGTCGTTGGCACAGTCTAAATATAGATGAGATAGATCAACGAAATGGGTAGACCAACTATTTTACCTCCTGTAGAAGCATATACGTGACCAACCACGTGAATGCGGTGAATAATGCTGGACCAGCGCAAGCCAAGAAATAAGGATATGTCTTCAGAAATGTCGACTGCCCAAACAGTCTAGGAAAACGATCTGCCGGATGGGACAAAGACCCGCCAATGAGAGGTCTAGCCGATCATTCAACGTAAGGACAGGATACACAAAACAACGTGTGGGACCTACCCGAGCGCATTCCCGGTCATCCATGGAATAGGAAGAAACCCGTACGCCTGAGCCATATTGCTTGAATCTGTAACATCTATCATCATACTCTTAATGACACCACCGTTGCCATTCAGCGCTCCACACAACACACGACTAAAAAAAAACATATTAAAACCATTATATTTCAATTGAAAGTACGATGCCCGAACCTTAATATCAAGCCCCCGAAGGTCTTGGAAAGTCCAAATAGGAACATGGAAATTGATATACCAAACAGACCGGTCAAGATGACTGGCTTTCGACCAACATGATCAGAGAGTCGGTTCCATTGAAGGGTTGTAAGGGCTTGAGCTACGTAGAACACGGAGTACTTGGAGACGAATCAGAAAACAACTATTTATGGCGAACATGAGCACTCACCATGATACCAACAAAATATGCTACCCTCGATTCATCGCCATGAGTCACTCCAATATCTCTGATCAGCTAAGAAACAAAACAAGGCTAATCAGAAACTCGTAAAGTATGAGCTCAGGCTAAGCTCACCTGAGGTGCAAACGGAGCAATTGCCTGAGCAGTTACAGGTTCGGTGAGCTGCAAGAAAAGTATAATGGATAATTGACGCCAAGGTAGTGGAGTTTTTATTTTGACCTGCTCCTCAGGCCGCAATAGAGGTGTCTCTTCATCCAATTGGGACATGGCTGCTAGTGAAGGAGTCCATTCGAGCTTTTTGGATCGCCAACCAAAACGTATGTAATAGAACAGCGATTAATATTTATCATTGACCCTCGTGCCCGTTAACTCCCGCGGTCTTACATAATTATATGGATATGTTCAAGTCCGAGGAGCGTGTTCTTGTGAAATTCTGAATCATGCAAGCTCCTCATGGTAGAGAAATATGCTCAAGCCCTACTATTGTGGATCATCCAGGTCCCAGTTAGTGCAGGGCAAATCACCGATTGATAAAAATGCAAATCCCAGACAAATGTAAATTCGGGATCGCTCAGCCAAACCCTACGGCGGACAGCGCCACTGAAACTATCCTGAACTAATACTGTTGTGTACTATGTAGTATCTGATGTACTATGATACTAGGATACACTCTGGAAAGGTTTAGGACTCCTGCATGTCCATGAGGACATTAACACGTTTAGCGATCTTGGCTTAATATGGCACTGTTTAGCTGCGACTTGACACACCTTGACCCCGACAACTTAAGCGTTAACATGAGTCAGACGTACTAAAGACTGGTTACGAGTCAAAGAAGAATGTGGGAGCTTAGCCATTCGTAAAACAAGCGTGTATGCAATGATACATATATCGGATAATACCATAGCTGAGAAAAGATAACATGCAGGTCGTTCTCGGTTACACACACTACTAGCAATTTTTCCACACACTAGGATCACGAGGAAGCAATAGAGAAGTACTTATAGCGAGAAATGCAATTACCATCAGGAAGTAGTAAACCAGCCACGCATCATGGCCTTCCTGCATCGAATAAGAGAAAACCGAAGTCGCAGATGCTGGGGCAATCATCCTTGCTCCTGCAGCAACCATCTGGGCAATTCCATTGGTTGCCCCAAGCGAGGCGCGATTGGGAGCAGCTGCTCTGATAAATAATGCCAAGCAAGCTGTAGGTCCTTCTCAGTTAAGTACCATGCACGAAGTACTGGGTTGACGTACGATTGCACATCATCAAGCTAGTCGTTAGCACATGTTGAGCGGCAACACACAACCACACCGCCAAACTCATTCCCTGGACTCGCGCTAGAGCATTGATCACTGGGAATAAAACAACGATAGGTATGCCAGAGCTAACACCGGTGGTATGAATGGCTCCTGCGCCAAAGTGATCATGTAGACGGGCGTAGAAAAGTAGCTGGAATGCACCATGTGCGATACCTGATACCGACAGTATAGCGCCGATGAGGGGAGGATCAAGGGAAAGACCGCCGAGTTCAATGGGTGTTGCATAGAACAGAGGAAGGATCGAGTTAAACGCCATATAGAATACAGCCATGGCGACATAGCTTGCTGTTACAGTCAGGACTCTTGGCGTTAGCGAGGCACGCAATGGGAGTGGTCTTAATAAAACTCCAGCAGAGTTTGCTTCCGCAGAACTAGTCGAAGCATTGTTCGATGGCATGGGAAAATTTGGATCGGACTGTTGCAATAACCATCCTTTGATCAGCCTCAGAGGTGGTGCTCTTGTTGAAACACTCTGATTATCGAACTTAGTGTGTTCCAGACATGGTCATTAAAAGCATCGCTCTCACCTCTCTGAATCTGGAATATGTGACTAACCAAGCTGCCGAGGCAAATATAGCTGGAACGACGCATGGTAAGAGGTATGGATAGGTTTTCAGAAGTTCCGATCGCCCAAAGATTTCGGGGAACCTATCTGCGGGTCGGGAGAGGGATCCTCCGATGAGTGGTCTAGGATTTCCATTTTCAATCTCGCTTCAAGAGCAAGCAGACATGTTGTAAGTACCTACCCGACTATGGCCCCTAACATCCATGGGAGCGGCATATAGCCGAATGCCTTCGGCAAGTTGGTTGTGTCAGTAATGTCCATTACCATGCTTTTGACGATGCCATTGCTCCCATTGAATGCCCCGCAGAGAATACGACTAATTAATATATCAGTAATCAACTGTTATGGCCGTTGTTTGACACGCTAACCTGATCACCAGACCAACAAATGTTCTCGAGAGCCCGAACGAGAACATCGAGGCTGCTATCGCGAACAGAGCAGTCAATATCAAAGGCTTCCGTCCAATGTGATCAGACAGTTGACTCCAATAGAGGATAGTCAGTGCTTGAGCCGTATAATACGATGATTGCTTGGATTGATATAAGGAAGGAACGCAGGATAATGAAAGATTGTGATATGCTCACCAAGATGCCAACATAGTGTCCGACCTGAGATTCGTTTCCGTTCGTCACACCAATGTCTCTTATCAGCTTGACAAAATGTGGTCAGATGTAAGTCCAAGCAGTGCGAATGTACTCACTTGCGGGGTAAATGGGGCAAGGGTCTGAAAAACAAGCGAGTCTGGAAACTGCAAGAACAATATAATCCAGAATTGATCCCAGGGCAAAGGTGTCTTGACTATCGGCTGTTGCAGAAGAGGAGTCTCTTCATCATCCTGACGCATGATTATGGTGGTACGAGAAGAAGACAGCCCTATCACACTCTTCAATCATAATGAGCTGGCTGTTGATGGGATTCATTGCCATTGATAAGTAGTCAGTTACCTGTTTCGGTACGAAAACTGAAAAAGAAAGCCGATAGAGCGCAAGTAGCAGCCTAATGGCATCACGGACGCACCACAATTGCTATTTCAGATATCCAGCCGGTAAAGTTGAGGACAGTGAGTTCGAGGGACTCTTGCCAGTGGCCATTAAGTGTCTTATATGCAGTCGATAAGTGTTCGACTGCAGATTTAATTTGAAATCTGCAGTGTTGAAACTCTCATCACGTGCGGGGTATTCCACTCGCGGCGTGGCCTGAACGTTTGATCTACATTCGCCTATTTCTAGAGGGAGTAGACACGGCGCCAGAACACACTGTGATTGTATCCCTGGAGAAACTTGATGCTAATGGATTCGTCTGGATTGTGGTAGCCTGCCCTGTGTTTGAATTTCGCTATGCCTTTCGCCGTAGCTGCTTTTGATATTCTTTTCGTAAATAACCTGAGGTATGCCCACATAAAATTGCAAGTTGCTACCTCACTTTGAGTCACAACGCACCGGAAAAACCTGCAAGGAGTTAAGGACGCAAAAATATCTCTGTTTGGCTACCGCGCTATATACCACCTATTACTGAACATCATGGCTAAAAACAGACAACATGCAGATCACTAGTGACGATACTATTGGTGATCTTCCCATAGACTAGGATCACGAGGAAGTAAGAGAGAAGTGCCTACAGCGAGAAATGCAAATGCCATCAAATAGTAATATATCGACCATGCGTCATGACCTTCCTGCATCGAATAAGAGAAAACCGAAGCTGCAGATGCTGGGGCAACGATTTTTGCTCCTGCCACAACTAGCTGGACAATTCCATTGGTCGCTCCAAGCGATGCGCGATTGGGAGCGGCGGCTCTGATAAACAATACTAAACAGGCTACGACTTCTCAGTAAAGTAAGATCCCGGAAGTGGTTGGTTGACATACGATAGCACATGATCAAGCTAGTTACCAGCGAAAGTTGAACGCCAACAGACAGCCATACCGCCAAACCCAGGCCATGGACTCGAGCAAGCGCATTGGTCACCGGGAATAAAATGATGATAGGTATGCCAGAGACAACACCAGTAACATGCATGGCTCCTGCACCGAAGCGATCATGTAGCCGCGAGTAGAAAAGTAGTTGGAATACACCATGCGCGACACCTGATACCGCAAGTATAGCACCAATCTTGGGAGGATCAAGGGAAAGACCACCGAGTTCAATCGGCGTCGAGTAGAAAACAGGTAGAACCGAACTGAATCCCATGTAAAGCAGAGTCATGGTGACATAACTTGTTGTCACAGTCAGGACCTTTGGAGTTAGCAAGGCGCACAGTGGCAACGGCTTTGATGCTACTCCTTCAGAGTTCGCTACCTCACGAACGGCCAGAGCATTTCTCGATGGCGGAAAAGGCTTTGCATATGACTGTCGCAAGAGCCTTCCTTTTGTCAGCTTCCAAAGTGGTGTCGTTGTTGAAACGCTCTCGTTACCATACTTAGTGTGATCCAGACATGGTCTTCAAAAAATGTCTCTCACCTCTTTGAAACAAAAATACGCGACTAGCCAAGCCACCAGGGCGAATATAGCTGGAACAGCGCATGGCAAGAGGTATGGGTAGATTTGCAGCAGTATTGATCGCCCAAAAATCTCAGGGAATCTGTCCACGGGTCTGGAGAGCGATCCACCAACGAGGGGTCTAGACTGTCGTGAATCTCGTTTCAATAGCAAGAGGTACTTTATAAACTTACCCAACTAAGGTCCCCAACATCCATGGGAGCGGCATATAGCTAAATGCCTTCGGCAAGTTAGTTGTGTCAGTGATGTCCATCACCATGCTTTTGATGACCCCATTGCTTCCATTAAATGCCCCGCAGAAAGCACGACTGAAAAGTCAATGAGTGCTTGACAGTTTAGCGGTTATTGAACACCCGAACCTGACTACCAGACCGACAAAATTTTTCGATAGCCCAAACGAGAACATTGAAATCGACATTGCGAATTGAGCAGTCAGAATCACAGGTTTCCGCCCTATGTGATCAGACAGTTGGCTCCAAGGGAGGATAGTCAGTGCTTGAGCCGTATAATATGATGATTGCTCGGAACGATATAAGGAACGAGCGCAGGACAAAAAGGATTATGACGTGCTCACCAGGATGCCAACATAGTGTCCAACTTGAGATTCGTCTCCGTTCGTCACACCAATGTCTCTGATCAGCTTCCAATTGCAGTTAGATTTCAAATCCACGCAGAAGGGATATACTCACTTGAGGGGTAAATGGGGCAAGAGTCTGAACGACAAGCGAATCGGAAAGCTGCAAGAATAATATGATCCAGAATTGATCCCATGGCAGAGGTGAAGTTCGGGCTACCAGCTGGTCTGGCTGTTGGAGAAGATGAGTCTCTTCTTCATCTTGACGCGTTGTCATGGTGGTATCTGAGAAAGATGGACGATTGGGCGCAGTCTATTAAACTTATGCAAATGAGTCGGCAATTGAGTGGCTCCTTGGCTCGGATTAGTCGAAGGGTAGATCGTCCACATGCTTTTGGAAACTGGTGAAGGCCCACTTGAACGTAAAGGAAACTATCGTTGTGATCCAGAAGCACGGGCAGGTCTGCATTAGGTTAGGCTGGTACGTACCCGAGCTGCGGCCAATGTAAACGTTCAGCACACGAGGCATAACAATACAAAGCAAAGCATCTTCTCTGTTATGAAACACGGTAGCAAAAGCGGAAGTCACGAAAGCCGCAGGGTCATGATGAGCTAGCTGGCCTTGTAGTTCCTCTACCATGCATGTCAGTATTGTACCCAATTGGTCAGTGTCGTAATCGCCTGGACTTGAGAATTTTCGTGCAATCCGCATCTCTACGCCTTGTAAAGAATGTGTTGTCCGGATTCTCGATTATTGGGGATATCGAGAGCCGGTGGGGATATGGATTTGACATGGCGTGGGAGGAACATGATGAATTACATCCACCCCATCTTTCCTTGAAAGCGCTCAGAATGCTCCTAGGAAGGAAGATATCTTCGGTAACAAGGGAAGGTCTCTGCCTGAATAAAGTATTTTGTCACACCCGGAGGATGCACTGACATGGTAAACAGATAACACGCGGTCATTGAACTAGTGCTGTTGGCAGAATGCGGTGGTTTTGCCAACCGGTCTGGCAAAAATCAGTTGTGCCTAGTCCACGGCAGAACTCACGCAAAGTGGAGCGCAGTGTGAACATGATCTTGGTGCAATCCATACAATCATGTGTAGTCTTTCGGTCGATACATTTGAAACACCGTACAAACCTTCGACGTCTCGATGACACTGTATCGTAAAAGCCACGGAGTATGCCACCATCAACATGTTCATATGCGGACTCGTGAAGAGGTTGGCAATTATTAATTGCTGTGAGACTGTACAGTATCTTGTTAAGTCGTGTGGAGTTTGTTGCTGCTGAATTTGCAGCTCTCGAAAAGGTAAAGCGCTAGTAAGAGGACTAGAAAGTTCAGAGCTTATGTAAATGCTCGAGGTTGAATCGGGTCAAGTAAATAATACCACGGGCCGACTATTCTAGATGATGAATGGGACGAGGCAAAATCAATGCTATCCATTGGGAATGTCATACTTACATGCATGTAGTCTACGTAGCCTAGAATTTTGCCAGTTCCACCCCCTAATACACTAGATGACACGCGGACATTCGCGATAATGTTATTGGGAATCTTCCCATACACTAGGATCATGGGGAAGTAATAGAGAAGTACCTACTGCGAGAAATGCAATTGTGATCAAAAAGTAATATATCAACCACGCATCATGCCCTGCCTCTATTGAGTAAGAGAAGACCGAAGCTGCAGATGCCGGACCAATGATTCTTGCTACCGCGACAGCCACCTGGCCTATTCCAATGGTTGCTCCGACTGAGGCACGATTGGGAGCAGCTGCTCTGATGAATAATGTTATGCAGGCTACGAGATTCTTAGTGTAGCGGAACGCAGGAAATGTTGGATTGACATACGGTAGCACATGATCAGGCTAGTCGTCAGCGCAAGCTGGACGGAAACACACAGCCATACAGCCATACCTATTCCATAGACTCGAGCCAGAGTATTGATCACTGGAAATAAAATGACGGTGGGTATGCCGGAGCTAACGCCGGTCATATGGATAGCTCCTGCGCCGAAGCGATCATGCAAACGAGCGTAGAAAAGTAGCTGAAATACGCCATGTGCGGCACCTTGTACCGCGAGCAACGTGCCGATGCGAGAAGGGTCAAGGGAAAGACCACCAAGTTCAATTGGTGTTGCATAGAAAATAGGTAGGACCGAACTGAGCGACATTTGAAGCATGCCTGTCGTGGCATAACTTGCTGTTACGCTCAACACTTTCGGGGTTAGTAAAGCACGCAGCGAAAGCGGCTTTGATTGAACTTCTCCAGCATTCGCCTCCCCAGGATCAACTATAACATTGCTCGATGGCTGGCGAGACTTCAAATACGACTGTCCGAAGAATGCTCCTTTGATTAGCTCCAAAAGCGGTGTCCTGGTGGAAACGCTCTTGTGACCACACTTAGTCTGATCCAGAGATGGGATTTCAACATCGCGCTCACCTCTTTAAGACAGACATGCGTGACTAACCAAGCTATTGATGTAAAAAATGCCGAAATAGAGCACGGCAGAAGATATGGGTACATTTTCAGGAGTTCTGATCGCCCGAAGATGTCAGGGAATCTGTCTGCTGGTCGAGAGAGCGATCCCCCAATGAGTGGTCTATTAGATTCTGTGAGACTCAGCACGAGAGAAAATGTACTGTATACCTACCCAATTGTGGTTGCGATCATCCACGGAATTGATATATAATTGAATGCCAAAGGCATATTGGTTACGTCTGTGATGTCCATCAGCATGCTCTTGATGACACTGTTGCTCGCATCAAATGCTCCGCAGACAACACGACTGGTCGAGAACATCAGTAATTGACGGTCACAACTACGATTTGATATCGAACTGAACACACTGACCTGACTACCAGAGCGAAGAAGGTCTTCGACAGCCCAAACGAAAACATCGATATAGAAATTGCTGATAGGGCTGTCAGTATTACAGGCTTCCGCCCGATGTGGTCGGACAGTTGGCTCCAATGAAAGATAGTCAGGGTATGAGCTGCATAGTATGATGATTGCTCGAGGGGATATCAGAAACGAATGAAGGAGCAAAAAACGATGAAGACATGCTTACTAGGATGCCGACATAGTGACCGACCTGGGATTCATCTCCGTGAGTTACTCCAATGTCTCTAATGAGCTTGATAAAATTCCCGTCGTGGTCAGATAACACTTGAAGTTCAAGCAAAGGGAATATACTCACTTGAGGAACAAAGGGTGCAAGGATGTAAGAAGAAACAGGATCTGGCATCTCCAAGAACAGTAAAATCCAAAATTGATCCCAGGGAAGAGGTGTCTTGGCCGTTGGCCGCTCAGGTCGTTGCAGAAGAGATGTTTCCTCGTCATCCTGCTGCGCAATCATGGTGATACGAGGAAACAACTCGGACGAAAGATGCAGCTCGTTATACTACGTGAATTCGTCCTAATAAGGTGGTCGCTGACCGGCTTGTTGGCCAGCTGGTCGATAAGGCCTACAACGGCAGTCGACAAGAACCTGCATCTTCTGATCAGTTGGCTCGGAATGATTAAAAGATCGCACGCGGCACGTCCTATTATGCGTAGAACCCGGGTATAGCCGCCTGTGGCTATCATGATAGGTACTTACCCGCATTGTCGCCTAGAGGAGCTCAAGCTGATCATTGGCTGGCTAACCCTTACGTGCGGTTTGAAGGTCTGCACTTACACGGTGTGAGATTAAATAGATGATACATAATAAGAACAGCCCCAAGTAGTTAAACGATTGGAGCCTAGTATCGCATGAGGCGCACTTGAAAAGACCTGCATCAACCTGCCATGTGCATGTGCTGCATTACGTAACTACGACACCGCCGCCGACCCCCGCCAGTTCCTGACTCCGCCGGTTTGCCATTTTTTAACACTCATTTTGCAACACGCCTATGTCAAGACCTGCAACAGTATCTGTTCCAGGGGCTAACCCACTTCTCTGGGCAGTGGGTCACTCGTGCACTTATGTCTGATCGTGACACTAATTCTCCCTATGTACGGTCCGCCTTTTAACCTCTGAGTGTTGTCGCTGTTGTCACGGTATCCTACACTGCTTATTCATAGGCTCTCTGTTCTGTGCGTTGACTTATCCTTCCCCGCAGTGCGTGATGTTCGTCTGAAAAGTCTCGTACTGCATCGCACGCGTGCTTGACGAGCGTTCTTGTCCACCGCATGCGGTTGCCCATATACCTCAGGTTGCCCCATTCACTACGATGCACTATCTTACTTTGAATCTCATTCGTTGCGCTTCAAATTACCTGAAAACTTATGTTCTTGGCTTTCATAATTTTCGTTGAGCACCGTGGTCATTGTGATTCGTGCACTGAGCTGTTTGCAGGTTATGTGTGGTTTGACGGCGAGTCGATTGCGGTGACTCATAACAAGGTGTCTGTGTTATCGTCTCTTTTCGTTTTTCAGGCATCCGATCGGACCTACTGCGTTGTGCTGCATCGGTTGGCTTCTTACTAATGTTCTGATGTAGTGATATCTGGATCATTAGCCTGCTTGTTTCCGGAAAAGTCCCACTGTAATTGCAAAACATTTGCGCGATTTGACAGCCCCCCGCCTGGCTCTCTGGCTCGCTCTGCAGCAGCCGCGTTCGTTGCACGAAAGGCGGTAACGTTTGCCTTATTTGCAGCGTTTTCTCGAACTTCATGGGTGGTTTGATGCTTTGTCGGTCGATGCTGTTTGGAAGGCATGTTATTTAAAGCTATCAAGCGTTTACCAGCACACGGTCGTCCCGTTGTCCATCCTCGTTCTCGTACTAAGCCCCGGTGACAGATTGGATTTTCACATTTGAGAACGCCTTTTGTTTCTGCAGTCAGCTTGCTCTCAAATCATCAAGCGATCATTCTCCAAGCAAAGACAAGATCATAGCGGAATAAAAGGGGCTCCAGTTTCTTACAGATGGATTTGTAGAGAACAGCACGAAGTTTTACTGCAGACAGAACCTTCCCTACTTATCATGGGAGTAGGGAATGTTGTACACATAGTAGTCTAACACGCAGTCAATCGCTATTGGGAATCTTCCCATACACTAGGATCACGGGGAAGTGATAAAGCAGTACCTACAGCGAGAAATACAGCTGCGATCATGAAGTAGTATATCGACCATGCATGATGCCCTTCCTGCAATGAATAAGAGAAGACCGAAGCTGCAGACGCCGGGCCGATGATTCTTGCTACTGCGACAGCCACCTGGGCAATTCCGTTGGTTGCTCCGACTGAGGCACGATTGGGAGCAGCTGCTCTGACGAATAATGATATGCAGGCTATAGGTTCTTCTCAGTTCAACAGAACGCAGGAAGTGCTAGATTAACATACGGAAGCACATGATCAGGTTAGTCTTCAGCGTAAGCTGAACGGCAACACACAGCCACACAGCCGTACCTATTCCGATAGGCTCGAGCCAGAGCATTCGTCACTGGAAATAAAATGACCATGGGTATCCCGGAGCTGATGCCGATGATGTGGACAGCTCTTGCACCGAAGCGATCATTTAAACGAGTGTAGAAAAGTAGCTGGAATATGCCTTGTATGATACCTGATGCCGCAAGTAAAGCACCTATGCGAGGAGGGTCAAAGGAAAGACCACCAAGTTCAATCGGTGTCGCATAGAAAACAGGTAAGATCGAATTGAATCCCATTTGAAACAGGCCTGTGGTGGCGTAACTCGCTGTTACGCTCAACACTTTTGAGGTTAGTAAAGCACGCAGCGGAAGCGGCTTTGATTTTACTTCGCCAGGATCAGCTATAACATTGCTCAATGGCTGGCGGGGCTTTGAGTATGACTGTCCGAATAATCCTCCTTTAATGAGCTCCCAAAGTGGTGTCTTGGTAGAAACGCTCTTGTAACCACACTTAGTGTGATCCAGAGATGGGTTTTCAGCGTCTCACCTCTTTAAGACGGGTATGCGTGACTAGCGAAATTGTCGAGATAAACAATGCCGAAATAGAGCACGGCAGGAGATATGGGTAGGTTTTCAGGAGTTCTGATCGCCCAAAAATGTTAGGGAATCTGTCTGCTGGTCGGGAGAATGATCCTCCGATGAGTGATCTAAATGCCGTCAACCTCAAGTGCGAGAGATCATGTACGGTATACCTACCCAATTGTAGTTGCGATCGTCCACGGGATTGGTACATAACTGCATGCCTTGGGCATATTGGTTGCGTCAGTGATGTCCATCAGCATGCTCTTGGCCATACTATCGCTCGCATCAAATGCTCCGCTGACAACACGACTGGTCGAGAATGTCAGGAATTGATGGTCACAGCTACTATTTTGAACACGCTGACCTGACCACCAGAGCGAAGAAGGTCTTCGACAGCCCAAACGAAAACATCGATATAGAGATTGCTGATAGAGCTATCAGTATTACAGGCTTCCGTCCGATGTGGTCGGACAGTTGACTCCAATAAAAAATAGTCAGGGTATGAGCTGCATAGTATGATGATTGCTGGAGAGAATAGTATCATGAACGAACGAAAGGGAAAAAACGATGAAGACATGCTTACAAGGATGCCGGCGTAGTGTCCAACCTGGGTTTCGTCTCCGTGAGTGACTCCAATGTCTCTGATGAGCTTGACAACGTCCAGTTGTGGTTAGATATAAGTCCAAGCAAACACAATATTCTCACTTGAGGAATAAACGGGTTGAGGGTCCGAGAAGAAAGAATTTCTGGCATCTCCAAGAGCAGTAGAATCCAAAATTGATCCCATGGAAGAGGTGTCTTGGCCGTTGGGTGCTCTGGTTGTTGCAGAAGAGGTGTCTCCTCGTCATTCTGCTGCACAATCATGGTGGTGCGAGGGAATGACTCGGATGAAAGATGTAGTTCGTTATACTACGTGAAGTCATTCCAATGAGGTGGTTGCTGACCGGCTTGTTGGCTAGCTGGTCGATAAGGCCTACAACGGCAGTCCGGCTCGACAAGAACGTTCAACCTGATCAGCTGGGATAAAATTAGTTACACGGCCCCTCCTATTGGTCCACACACCTCCGAGGCTGTTCCAACTTCTCCTAAAATCTCACCACACGAACGTATCAAATCTGTTCTCAAGATCTTAAGAGAAGGTCGTATATCAACGTTGCAACTCTCGACTCTATGCTCAATCCTCACCGGAATTTCGACTGGAATAAAGGTAACCATTATTTCAAGGAAATCTCATGTAATCAGAAAATAAACCGAATGTAGACGAGCGCCGCGTGTTTCCGGAAAATAATCACTTCGAATTCCTCATACGTATGTACATACAACGAGCTTCCCTGTTCGAAAATCGCCAAGTCTCACATACTACAGCTGCAGGGCACGCGCTCGCAGTATGCCGTGGGCGCTCATCGTCCTCTCTCACGACGACTGGCGTGCATCACATCCTGCTTTCTCCGCAATACTATCATCTTCGCACTGTTCGCAGTAATACAGCTTGCCCGGGACAACTAGGAAGGTTGAGTTTGTCGTTGGAAGCTCTCATAATGTCGCTTGAATGATGTACGTGCAGCCAATGTTCGCTCGCTGCGAACCGACACTTAGCAGCTCAACGAGATTATGGACAGGTTTGTGAGCGAAATGATTCAGCTGTATTCTGGTATGTAATATACAACTACTCTGCGCAGGAGAAGGGAAACTCTCCGGGAAAGCTGGATAGTAGCTTGATTGCATGTTTGCAGACTCACGAGGACGTGCTCGGATGTTGAAGTGGCTCCGCCCACATGCAATCGACCGTGACTATGTTTCTGATATTGTCAGCACCGAGATGGACGCCATCAAGGAGGACCTTCGAGAGGCACTCGACATCATCACTTCGGAGTTTCTTTTAACATGGGATCTTAATTCGGCGATGGACAACACAATTGCACCAAGGCACCGGTCCTACGACGTCTTCTGCACAGTGCAGCTCAAACAACCCGTGCTGGGGAAAAGAATCAAGTTAAGGATTGCAGTACCATATGATGTGCAATGTTGGCACCTTGACATCTCTGAATTAATGATTGTCTTTTTTGTTCAAAGGCGTGCAATGTCATCCTCACGCAACTTGATTCTCAGCGTTCGCATCTCAAGAGAAGCATTGTGAATGGATTGGATGATGGAAGATTGGTCCATTGAATTCACAGGTATAGTTCACGTCGCGTTAATAACAAGAGAATTATAGTTCTGCCTCCTACACTAGATCATAATGTACATGGTCATTCGCGATAATATTATTGGGAATCTTCCCATACACTAAGATCACGGGGAAGCAACAGAGCAGTACTTACAGCGAGAAATGCAATTGCGATAAAGAAGTAGTATATCGACCACGCATCATGCCCCTCCTGTAACGAATAAGAAAAGACCGAAGCTGCAGTCGCCGGGCCGATGATCCTTGCTACTGCGACAACCACCATAACGATTCCATTGGTTGTTCCGAGCGAGGCGCGATTAGGAGCAGCTGCTCTGATGAATAATGCCATGCAGGCTATGAGTTCTTTTCAGCTAAACAGAACGCAGGAAGTGCTGGATCAACATACGGAAGCACAGGATCAGGCTAGTCTTCAGCGTAAGCTGGACAACAACACACAGCCACACAGCCATGCCTATTCCATAGGCCCGAGCCAGAGCATTGGCCACTGGAAATAAAATGACGATGGGTATGCCAGAGCTAACACCGGTGATAAAGATAGCTTTTGCACCGAAGCGATCGTGTAAATGAGCGTAGAAAAGCAGCTGAAATATTCCATGTATGACACCTGATACCGCAAGTAAAGTACCAATGCGAGGAGGGTCAAGGGAAAGACCGCCAAGTTCAATCGGTGTTGCATAGAAAACAGGTAAGACCGAATTGTACCCCGTTTGAAATAGGCCCATGGTGGTATAACTCGCTGTTACACTCAAGACTTTCGAGGTTAGCAATGCCCGCAGCGGAAGCGGCTTTGGTTGAACTTCTCCGGGACTCCCTTCCCCAGGATCAACTATGACGTTGCTCGATGGCTGGCGAGGCCTCGAGTATGATTGTCCCAAGAATCCTTTTTTAACTAGATCCCAGAGCGATGTTTCGCCAGTGGTAGAGACGCTCTTGTCACCACACTTAGTTTGATCCAAAGATGGGTTTTCAGGCGCTCACCTCTTTAAGATGGATATAGGTGACTAGCCAAATTATCGATACAGAAAATGCCGAGATAGAGCATGGCAGGAGATATGGGTAGGTTTTCAGGAGCTCTGATCGCCCAAAGATGTCAGGGAATCTGTCTGCTGGTCGGGAGAGCGATCCCCCAATGAGTGGTCTAGAAGATGCCGTGAACCTCAGTGCGAGATAAAATGTACTGTATGCCTACCCAATTGAGGTTCCGATCATCAACGGAATTGGTATATAACTGTATGCCTTGGGCATATTGGTTGCGTCAGTGATGTCCATCAGCATGCTCTTGACCATACTATCGCTCGGATCAAATGCTCCACAGACAATACGACTGGTCGAGAATGTCAGGAATTGATGGTCACAGGTACTATTCGACATTTAACTGGACACGCTGACCTGACCACCAGACCAAGGAAGGTCTTCGACAGCCCAAACGAAAACATCGAAATAACAATTGCTGATAGAGCTGTCAGAATTACGGGCCTCCGCCCGATGTGGTCGGACAGTTGACTCCAATGAAAGATGGTCAGGGTATGAGCTGCATAGTACGATGATTGCTGGGGAGAGTAGTATGATGAACGAACGAAAGGGAAAAACCGATGAAGACATGCTTACAAGAATGCCGGCATAGTGTCCAACCTGGGTTTCGTCTCCGTGAGTGACTCCGATGTCTCTAATGAGCTTGACAAAGTTCCTGTGATCAGATATAAGTCGAGCGAAGGGAATATACTCACTTGAGGAATAAACGGCGCAAGAGTCCCAGACGAAAGAAAATCTGGCATCTCCAAGAGCAATAGAATCCAAAATTGATCCCATGGAAGAGGTGTCTTGGCCGTTGGTTGCTCTGGTCGTTGCAGAAGAGGTGTCTCCTCGTCATTCTGCTGCGCAATCATGGTAGTGCGAGAGAACGCCTCGAATCAGAAATGCAGTTCATTATACTACATGAAGTCATTCCAATGAGGTGGTTGCTGACCGGCTTGTTGGCTGCCTAATCGATAAGGCCTAATGGCAGCGCTTTTGCTGATCAGTTGACATAGAATCAGTCACACGGCACTTCTTATTATGTAGCACCCGGGTATAGCCGCCATGGCCTTAGGGGGTTCGCACTACTTAGTAGTACTGTCACCTAGAGGCTTAAGCGCGGCTGACTGACCTTAGTAGGCTAGATCTAAGATCTGCACGAGACATAACAACAAAAAGCCCAAATCAACGACGTTGAACGGAAATTTTCCAGTGAAGACATGCTACAGCATGAGGCACATAAATACGTCGACCGTAAGTACATGTGGTGACCATGCCATTGCGCGCGTACCTATTTATCATCCGCAGGCGCCACAGGTCCGATGACTTATTCGTTTACTTACGGCCTACCCAGTTCGGGGTGCACTGTACACAAGCTAACGCAACGGGAATTCGGGCTTATTAGATGAGAAGTCGTTCCACGAAGTTGGCAGTCGCCGCTCGTCCATAAAGAGCACGACAGTTGATGGAACAAGCTCAAAATTTCTGATAATGATAGGCTATGTAGCAGCCGGGGTCAGAAACGTAAAAGCAAGCACCTCCTATTACGCACGTTGCCCCGTATACTTGACCACATTGTGCGGGTAGTACCTCCGCTATTACTCCACATTGAACCTTACGCGCATGGTCTGCGCATGCGAGACTAGAGCAGACATAGCAAGATGTAAGACCTGAATCAGATAAATTAAACGTCTTTCAGTAGCAGAGCTGACTGTGTAATGGCTCGCTGCGTTACGTCCACGATGACTGTCCTTGTTTACACCCGACAACGTAGATTACCGCCCACCATCGCTATCGTAGCACCGAGACACCAATCGAGCTCTGTGCCTTCAATACGCTGGAGTGGTGTATCCGCGACTGTGTGCCTGCGTGTCGCGAAGTGGTAAAGAGCACTATGCTACGACGGACACTGAGTGGCTGACTAAGCTACGGTGCTACCCGGCTGCTACTACGCCCCTCGCCTAGGGGTCCCCCACTCCAACGTCCCGATCATCACCAAACTCGTAGCCAAGAACCAGCAAGGCGTGCTGGAAAGTGAGATCAAGGCACCACTCCGGTCGACTTTCGAGTTCCTCCATGATATCAGGATGCCCCCAGTACGATGTCCAGCTGGTAGGTCCTGCGCAGACCCGTTTAGCAAGCGTGGCGAATGTTGAAATTGCTATGGGGGGCTGGGGATTATCTGTTGAAGAGTCTGCTACAAGCAATGGGGTGACCTGATCGAAGAAATACGAGATTGTTCCGTTAGGAAAGGCGTCCAGAAGTGATGGCTGGGAAACACCATCGAAGGATCAGGGTTTGAGTTCACAAACACTAGTGCAAGCGATCGATGAATACAATGGAGGTCAATAGACACAAGTCATTCGCGATAATATTATTGGGAATCTTCCCATACACTGGGGTCACGGGGAAGCAATAGACCAGTACCTACAGCGAGAAGTGCAATTGCGATCAAGAAGTAGTATATCAACCACGCATCATGCCCTTCCTGCAATGAATAAGAGAAGACCGAAGCCGCAGACGCCGGGCCAACGATCCTTCCTACTGCGAGAGCCACCTGCGCGATTCCAGTGGTTGCTCCGAGCGAGGCGCGATTGGGAGCAGCTGCTCTGATGAATAATGTCAGGCAGGCTATCAATTCTTGTCAGTTCAACGAAACGCAGGAAGGGCTGGATCAACATACGGAAGCACATGATCAAGCTAGTCTTCAGCGTAAGCTGAATGGCAGCACACAGCCACACTGCCATGCCTATTCCATATGCTCGAGCCAGAGCATTGGTCACTGGGAATAAAATGACGATGGGTATGCCGGAGCTAACGCCGGTGATGTAGATAGTTCTTGCACCGAAGTGGTGATGTAAACGAGCGTATAAAAGCAGCTGGAATATGCCTTGTATGATACCTGATGCCGCAAGTAAAGCACCGATGCGAGGAGGGTCAAGGGAAAGACCACCAAGTTCAATCGGTGTCGCATAGAAAATAGGTAAGATAGAACTGAATGCCATGTGAAACAGGCCCATGGTGGTATAACTTGCCATTACGCTCAACACTTTTGAGGTTAGCAAGGCACGCAGCGGAAGCGGCTTTGATTGCGCTTCTCCAGGATTCGCAGGATTGGCTATACCATTGCTGGATGACTGGCGAGACTTCGAATATGATTGTCCGAAGAATCCTCCTTCAACTAGCTCCCGAAGCGGTGTCCTGGTGGAAACGCTCTTGTGACCACACTTAGCCAGATCCAGAGATGGATTTTCAGCATCACGCTTACCTCTTTAAGACAAATATACACGACTAGCCAAATTATCGATATGAAAAATGCCGAGATAGAGCATGGCAGGAGATATGGGTAGGTTCTCAGCAGTTCTGATCGGCCAAAGATGTTGGGGAATCTGTCTGCTGGTCGGGAGAGCAATCCCCCAATGAGTGATCTAGTGGATGCCGTGAACCTCAGCGCGAGGAAAAATGTACTGTATGCCTACCCAACCGTGGTTGCGATTATCACCGGAATTGGCATATAACTGTATGCCTTGGGCATGTTGGTTGCGTCAGTAATGTCCATCAGCAAGGTGTTGATGACAGCATCGCCCGGATCAAATGCTGCGCAGACGACACGACTGTGGTCAAGTAATTGACGATCACAACTACTATTTGATATTAAACTGAACACACTAACCCTACCACTAGACCAAGGAAGGTCTTCGACAGCCCATACGAAAACAACGAAAGAACATGTGCTAATAAAGCTGTCAGTATTACAGGTTTCCGCCCGATGTAGTCGGACAGTCGACTCCAATGAAAAACAGTCAGGGTATGCACTACAGAGGATGATAGTTGCTCGAGAGAATATCAGCCACGAATAAAGGGGCAAGAGCGATGAAGACATACTTACAAGAATGCCGATATAGTAGCTAACCTGGGATTCGTCTCCGTGAGTGACTCCGATATCTCTAATGAGCTTGACAAAGTTCCAGTTGTGATCAGATATAAGTCCAGCGAAGGGAATATAATACTCACTTGAGGAATAAATGGGGCAAGGGTCCGAACAGAAAGAAAAACTGGCATCTCCAAGAGCAGTATAATCCAAAATTGATCCCAGGGAAGAGATGTCTTGGCCGTTGGCTGCTCTGGTCGTTGCAGAAGAGGTGTTTCCTCATCATCCTGCGGTGGAATCATGATGGTGTGAGAGAACGACTGAGATGAAAGACGCACCTTATTATACTACGTGAATTTACTCCAATGAGGCATTACTAAAG